CTGTGACGTATGCAGCCGACAAATTCAACCTTCGGAGGACCCGTCCTGCCGTTTTGGACACAGCCACAACCTGCCATGTTGGGACTTTAAGCAGAGTCGAGAGGCTTTAAGCTCCGCCCACTCCTCTGAACACAAACTACTTTCTTTTAGACATGAACKAACTGATCAGAGCTGAGGTTACAGTGACAGTATTTGAATCCACGTCCACAGGTGAGACCAGGTGTTAACCTCCTGGGGATTATTCCCAACAGAAACCAGAGTGGGTGTTAGTGTTTACACAGAACAGGAACAGGAAGTGATGTTTCTCTGTCCCCTCAGTCAATCCAGGCGTTTGATTTTAATCTGACACCAAAATAAAAACCGTTCACTTTGATGAAACGCAGCTGAAGTGACTGAGCGAGGACTGAGGTTTGTAGGACGGAGGAGGACTGTGGGGTCCTGACCCCTGGCTGGAGTTCTTTCTGCCCTGGCTGTCAGAGACATGCAGGGAGGAAGAGGAAAAGGTCTTCGCTCGGCTGCTCAGGGCTCGGGGGCCGACCATCCCGTCCAGCCTGTGAGGGAAGCAAACAAACAGCTGCACACGTGTCCCAGTGAAAACTCTACGCCCCAGTCTCCGCTTGGACCCCGGTCCTACCTGGTCTGCAGGCTCTTGATGCGACACAGCATGTCCAGGTGGCCTGCGGAGTACTGCTCGATCACGTCCTTCACGTCGTACGGACGCAGCGTCTCCTTAAACTTCTTCTTGGCTACGTGGAACTTCATGATCCTGCAGAGACAGTTCAGAGTTCAGCCACCAGGGGGCGCTCCGACCCAGAGGACTGCAGCCGCTCCAAACCCTCTTTATTACATTTATTATCTGTTCGCCTCCAATGAACCCTCAGTTTGAACCAATCAAAACCTCCTGAGAGGTGGAGTCACCTTCATCCACCTGCAGAAGCCACACCTCCGTGTAATCGCTGCTCATTTAAAGACTCAACTACTTCCTGTCTTCATCCAGAACAATGGCCTAAAATCAGACCAATCAGAGCTGCTGGGCTGCAGGAAGGGGGCGGGGCTAATGTTAGACAGGAAGAAGGAAGAACCCACCTGACGGCTCGGATGATGGTCTTCACCGAGGGCAACAGGTCCTCCACAGAGACGTCGCAGTGGCAGCCCTTCTCATCGAAGCCGTCCTCCACGGCCAGGCTGGACTCAGCTGCTCCAGGATTGTTTGTTTGTTTATTTATTGTTTGTTTGTTTACAAACAACACATTCTGAAGAGTGATGTAAAACTGATCCAAATAATACTACAAGTTCTATGGTCTGGTCCAGTCTGGTTACATCTGATCTGGTCTGGTTTGGTTCAGTCTGGTCTGGTTTGGTTCAGTCTGGTCCGGTCCAGTCCAGTCCGGTCTGGTCTGGTTCAGTCTGGTCCAGTCCAGTCCGGTCTGGTCACTCACCGTCGGTGGTGGAGCGGGACTGGCTCTTGAGGCGCAGCGAGGGTCTGAAGCGCGTGCGGTCGTTGAAGCTCCAGCTCTTCTGGACCTTGGCGGGACTCGTGCTCTCCRTTCCACCGTCGGTCACCGGAGAGCGCCGGTCGTTCCCGGAGGATGTCTGGCGGTTCTTGATGCTCTGACCTCGGGGGCTCGCCATCCTGACCCGCTCCTTAAAGCTCAGCTTCTGACTGAAGGTCGGGCAGAGTTTGGAGAGAAGAGTCAGTTTCAGTGACGAGGTTCATTTTSTTTTGTGATATTTTCAGAATAAAAGCTGCAGAACATCAAACACCAGTCTAGTTGCTCCAGCTGGCTGATGYATAGTTTTATTTTCTAAAATCAGAAAAGTTCAAGATTCTGCAGCAGATGATCAATATTTATAATCTGTCGACTCTTCATGCAGCTGGAATTAGTCAACTTTCCCAAAACCCAGTGGAGGCACAGTTAACCAAAAAGTTAGCTTCACTAACCAACCAATGAATCTTAGTTAAGGGATCAATCTTGTTCCAGCAGGAAGTGAACTTGAATTACTCAGATTGAATCTGAATGTTCATAATTTAAAATTGAATGCTTGAAAATGAATTTTACTAAATTTAAACTGAATTTAAAGTTTTGTATCTGAATTAATTTGCTTTGAAACTGTAT